GGCGCCGCACCACGCCGGTCGCCCCGTGCCCTCGCCAGCCCCCCTCAGCGCCCTCCCCTGCACATCCCCGATGCGCGTTCGCGCTCACCGCGCGGCAACCGCGCCCGTCCGCGCGCCCGCGCCCCGCCCTTGCTCGCGGCCATCACGGCCACGGCCGTTCCCGCTCGCGACCTTGTCCTTCCTGTCGTCGGCCGTGCCCGCTGCTGCCCTGCTGCCGGCGTCCCATTCCGGCGGCCGCCCGTGCTACGCCGTCAACCACGCGCCCGGCGCCAGCGCCCCCCCTCTGCGCCCGCTCGGCCCTCTCCTGGGTCGGGCGCCCCGCAGCGCCTCGCGCCCGCACCTGCGGCACCCGTAGCACCCGAACCCAATATGGCCCCTAGGGGCCTATGACAAACGGGGCCCGTGCCCCATAACGTTTAAAAAATGATTTAATAAAATTAATTATTAATTAATTAATAAATTAATTAAGTTAATTAATCCGGTTTAATTAATTTAATTAACTAGTTAAGTTTAATTAAACTGTAATTAGATTAACCTAAACCCTAGTTAACCTAATTAGAGGATGACAGGTGGGTCCCCCCCCTGGACCCACATGTCAGGTTGAACAGGTCAACTCTGTTGACTGCTAACGTCAGCATGACATCATGCTGACGTCATAAATCCATTTTTTCGAATTAATTAATTAATTAATTAAATTCCAGAAATTAATAAAATCTTTAGAAAATCATATCTTTTAATCCGTAACTCGGATTAAAATACTTTCAACATGAAAGTTGCTCAGAACGACGGGACGAATTCGGATACGCAGTCCGTTCGTCCGCCACACCCCCCTAACCTATCGAACCCGCAACTTTCCCCCTCCGGCTCCTCTGCCCGAAAACACGAAACACCGGGAATACTTTCCCGGATGATTCCCCCCTTAACCAGTACCACCTCATACCACGTTAGGGCACGCCTAGCATCGCTTCTTGACATGTCATGCATCGATATGCATCGGTTTACTTGGTATTCATTGTTTCTTCCCTCCTCTTCTCTCCGATAGACTACGAGACCGACGCTGCTGCTGCCCAGTTCGACTACGGTGTTGACGACCCCTCTCTCTTGCCAGAGCAACCAGGCAAGCCCCCCCCCCCCTTGATCACCAGATATCGCCTACTCTTCTCTATACTGCTTGCATTAGAGTAGTGTAGCATGTTACTGCTTTCAGATACTCCTATACTGCTGCATAGCCTGTCCTTGTTACTTTTGTTGTTACCTCACCTGCAATCCTATATGCTTAGTATAGGATGCTAGTACATTCATCTGTGGCCCTACATTCTTGTCCGTCTGCCGTGCTATACTATCGGGCCGTGATCACTCGGGAGGTGATCACGGGTATATACTTTATACTTATACATGATACATGTGAGACTAAAGTCGGGTCGGCTGGTGGAGCACCTGCGAGTGGATCTTGAGGCGGAGCGACAGGGCAGGTTGTGACCGCCTAGGAGAGAGGTGGGCCTGGCCCTGTTCGGCGTTCGCGGATACTTAACACGCTTAACGAGGTCTTGGTATTTGATCTGAGTTGGCTACGAGCTTATACGCACTAACCATCTACGCGGGAGTAGTTATGGGTATCCCGGCGTCGTGGTATCAGCCGAAGCACTTCGTGACGCCAGCGACTGAGCGGCGCGCGCCGGATTGTACTGGAACGCCACTAGGCTAGGTCTGCTTCCGGCCGCGTTCGCAACGTGCAGGTGTGCATTGGGCGATGGGCCCAGACCCCTGTGCGCTTAGGTTTAGACCGGCGTGCTGGCCTCTCTGTTGAGCCTAGGTAGGGCTGCGACGTGTTGATCTTCCGCGGCCGGGCATGACCCAGGAAAGTGTGTCCGGCCAAATGGGATCAAGCGTGCTGGGTAAGATGGTGCACCCCTGCAGGGAAGTTAATCTATTCGGATAGCCGTGATCTTCGGTAACAGGACGACTTGGAGTTGTACCTTGAGCTTATGACAACTAGAACCGGATACTTAATAAAACACACCCTTCCAAGTTCCACAGACAACCCGGTGATCGCTTTTCCACAGGGCGACGAGGGGAGGATCGCCGGGTAGGATTATGCTATGCGATGCTACTGGAGATGCTACCCGGAGATGCTACTTGGAGATGCTACCTAGAGATGCTACCTGGAGATGCTACTTGGAGATGCTACTTGGAGGACTTCAACCTACCCTCTTCTACCTGTTGCAAGACGGAGGCTGCCAGAAGCGTAGTCTTCGACAGGATTAGCTATCCCCCTCTTATTCTGGCATTCTGCAGTTCAGTCCACTGATATGGCCCTTTACACATATACCCATGCATATGTAGTGTAGTTCCTTGCTTGCGAGTACTTTGGATGAGTACTCACGGTTGCTTTCTTCCCCCTTTTCCCCCTTTCCTTTCTTTCTGGTTGTCGCAACCAGACGCTGGAGCCCTGGAGCCAGACGCCACCGTCGACAACGACCCCTACTACACCGGAGGTGCCTACTACTACGTGCTGCCCGCTGACGACGACCAGGAGTAGTTAGGAGGATCCCAGGCAGGAGGCCTGCGCCTCTTTCGATCTGTATCCCAGTTTGTGCTAGCCTTCTTAAGGCAAACTTGTTTAACTTATGTCTGTACTCAGATATTGTTGCTTCCGCTGACTCGTCTATGATCGAGCACTTGTATTCGAGCCCTCGAGGCCCCTGGCTTGTATTATGATGCTTGTATGACTTTTTATTTATTTATAGAGTTGTGTTGTGATATCTTCCCGTGAGTCCCTGATCTTGATCGTACACATTTGCATGCATGATTAGTGTACGATTGAATCGGGGGCGTCACAGCAAAGTTCGCCAACATGGCTACATTCTCAGGGACATGACTATGGAGGCTTGTCCCCATATACTAAATCATCTTGCAAGCACAAAAATCCAAGCTACACAATAAATGACTACCAATTCGTCTAGAATAATTTATGTGGCCTCTTCAATTTTTTTGCTCAAGATACTACTACATCCGTCCTGGATTATTGATCCCCTTAATATTTTGGGCCAAATTTTGATTATGGATTTAATTAACAAAATGTTAATGCATGTTACAAAAAATAGTATAAATGGACACTATGTTCAAATACGAATCTAACAATATAATTTCTTTATGACATGCATTAATATTTTTTTAGTTAAATCTATGATCAAATTTTGGCACAAAACACAAAATACGAAGAAGACCAATAAATCAGGATGGAGGTAGTCCTTGCTAGAACATTCCAAGACAAACATTGATCCGTCGAGGACAAGCAATCACACCAGCATGAGCACGGCATCGAGATTTGTTAACAAGGGTTGCCAACATGGCTATATCCTTAGGACGCGACTACGAACGCTCCTCCCCATGTACTAAATTGTCTTCAGAACACAAAAACTCAAGCAATGTAGCTTCGGACCTCTCTTCTGCATCATGAACAACCATCAACTCTTAAAATAATTTATGTTGCCTCTTAGAAAATCTTGCTCATGATACTTGTTACTAGAATATTTTAAGGCCTCATTTGGTTTGGAGGATTTCTATGGGAAAAACATAGGAACAAGGATTCCGTAGGAAATTTTTCTATAGATGCATTCGGTTTGTAGGGAACGCGTACGGGAATTTTGTAGGAACACTATTCATTTCCTATATTTTTGGAGGAATATACACATCTACTTCAAACTTATTTTATGCGTAGGAACGAGGCAAGACAATTTCTTAGGATGACTATCAAATTCTTATACCACTCCTAATTCTTATATTTTGGTTTCCTCCAAACCGAATGAGGCACAAGGAAAATGATAATCGGTCCATGACAAACAATCACACAGGCACAACATAAGATTTGTTAATGAGGCTGGCCAGCTTGGTTACATCCTCAGGGCAAGGTATACAATCAGGTACGTCCAAGTGCCTATATCACAAGTCCCAACAGCGTCAGCAGCTTCCAATCAAGAAAACCAACAATGTTCATTAGCCTCTGTGTAGACCGTCTAATTAATCAGGTGTACCCCAGTGTGCTATTAATTAATCCCAAAAGAAGAACACCAAACCACGTCCCATGACCCAACATGACCCCAGGACGGTCTCAAAAAGCAATCCATCAACATGAACCAGGACCCAACATGATCGACATCGTGTCTCAAAATCAGGCCATGTATCCTTCCCGATTAAAAACCCAGGAACGTCAAGAACCAAGGATCCACAGAAACAAGTTAGAAACGGATGACATACATGCTATTCCGTGATCCAAATGTACGGGCGGGCGTCTCCCGACTGGATTCAGGTTCGATCAGGATGGCTCATGCCCCATATCGCCGCCGTTTGCGTTTGACGCGGCTCTTGTCCTTGTAGTACTCTTGGCCGTTGAGCAGAAGCGGAACAGTGTAGTGCCCACCGTTCTCCCCCACGCCGGTGACGCTAGTACCGCCATGGTAGAGAGCACCATCGTCGGCTTGCGCGTCAGGGCCCGACTGCACTGGCGGTGGTGAAACCCGTTGATGTTCGGCGGCGGCGGCGGCAGCGGCTGCGACGGCCAGCACCTTGTCAGGGCCGTGCTGAGCAAACGGCTGAAGAAGAAATAACACATTCAGTTAACGGATCCCCAAATCACTAAATCAGTGACGAATTCGCCCCCAAGTTCCCCCAACGCACGCACGCAGGACGCGCCGATCCTTACGCACCTCCGGGTCGGCCGGCTGTCGCTTCCTCTGCTCCCTGGCGGCGACGGTCAATCCGATGCGGGTGAGCACCGTGCTCAAGAGCGGCGGCGAGGTGATCTGGTACTCGCTCATGACCCAGCCGCTGGGGGCCTTGTCGCCCGCGCGCTTGTAGGTGAGGTCGTACCTCCTGTAGCTGATGTCCACCTCTCCCGCGCGGGCGCCATCGCCATCGCCATCGCAGAACAGGGTGACGGTCCCGACGCTGCCATTCTGCCCTTGCCACGTGCCGCCGCCCTTGCCGGGCACGACGCGCTTGACGGGGCCCCCGTTCCTGGGAGGCCCGAAGAAGAAGGCCTGGTGGCTTGTCCCGTGGTTGTGCTTCTCCATGAGGTCCCACGGCGGGAGGCTCATGGGGTCGTCGTCGATGACGGCGCGCCCGTGGCCGTGGGGCTCGTCGAGGCCGACCGCGCGGGGGAGGAGGTAGGAGGCGACGATGTCGGCGTCGGTGGGGTCGAACTTGAACGCCGCCGCCATGTCGCGGCCGAAGCCGAACCGCGAGGCTTCCATGCCCTCCGCACTGCTCTGCCCCGCTCCGCAAACGCAAACGAACGGTTCCTTGGTTCCCAACCCGTGCCGGTGTGATTTGGCAAAGGCGCACAGCTAATATGAGCCGATCGAATCGCCGACTCGACTACTACTTGAGCCCAGATTACTTGGGAGCCAAGAAGTCGCTCATTTGAGCTTTGCCATGCCATTCCAACTCTTCGGGTTATTAGAGCAACTCTAGCAGACCCCGCATCCCGCCTGACCCGTAAAATAACCGTCAAAATGCGGGTCGGGGCGGAAAAACCAGCCCGATCAGATTCCGCATCACGTCCCGACTCGTAAAAAAATTTAGGAGGCGCGGCAAAATCCCGAGCCCAATCCGAGAAAACGCGAGTTTCTGCCTCGCGGCTGCGGTGCCCTGCATATAAGCGGAAACGGTTGGTGGGGGACATTTCATCCCGCGCTTTCTTCCATCAACCACCTCTCCTCTCCCCTTCGCGCCGCCGCCGGCCGCCGCCCAAGATTCCGGCGAAAGCAGCCGGCAGGAGCACGCCGGAAGGCCACCACGCGCACGAGGCCTCCCCTCCCTTCCCCCTGCGTCGGCGGGCCGCCGGATTTGGCTTTTCCGGCCGCCGGTTGCTGCCCCAAGTGTTGGAGTGGTCGGGGAGCCTCTCCCGCAGCCCAGGCAAGGGCGCATCGCCGCATGCAGGTACTGCTTCGTCCGCTCGCCGCCACCGAAGGTTTGCGTGCATGGATTCGTCCGGCCGTCCACCGGGGTCGGCGCTCGCGCATCGTCTTTGTGGCTTGCCGATGCCGCTCATAGAGTGCGACGACTGCACGCGGAAAGTGCTGCGGCTCACTTCGGGCACGTCGAAGCACCCCGGATGGGTGTTCTTCAAATGCGAAAACGACGGGGTACGTGCACTTGCGGTAGCTCATTTTGATGGCTCATTAATTGGTTCAATTATGGTAGCTCATTTTGAACATGCTCACTCATTGTGTGTTGGAAGATGGATGCTCATTTTGGTTTTGGGAAGGCGAATACATTGATTTGTTGATAGAAAGAAAATTAATAGATGTTCGTGCACTCCTTAGTAGAATCGAAGGCAATGAATCGGGTGCATGTGCAACTAGAGGGGAAGCAACGTCTACTTCTTTCGAACCAAAGATGAAGAAAGAAGAATGCAAAATCAAGAATCCGCAGATCAACAATGAATGCATGAAGAAGATATTAGTCCAACTAGTGGAAGCAATTATGGAAGTTGGAAATCTTCTAAAATGCATACTTATGGTTCCTGTTTTTTTTGGTCTTGCTATTCTAGCAAAGATTTGGTGATGTCTATGTATCCAATATTGTTGAAAAAGCAAAAAAAAAAGCATTATGTTGGATCAAATTAAGGTTTTCCGGGTCGGGAGGAGCTGCGCCCGATCAGACCCCGCAAAGCCGACCCGTAAAAGAGCATATTCCGCGAATATCCCTTTTTACGGGTCCGTTATGCAGGGTCTGCATCCGCGGCCGTCCGCGCGGCCTGCAAAGCCGTTTTTCCGTGAACTGCAAACGCGTTTTGCGGTCCGGCCGGATGCGAGGTCTGCTAGAGTTGCTCTTAGAGCATCTTCGCTCGTTCAGCCCCCCAGCGCACCTGACGATTGCGTTTTGGCCTATGCACCGGTGTTTTTTTCGCCCTAGAGATGATTCAGTTCCCGGCCGCGCCCCCAGGTTTCGGTCCCAAGACGCACATAAATTCAAATTTGTCTTCCCCGCTACCAAAAGACGTCACAAGTTCGGCGATCTGCCATAGTTCGGCGATCACCATGCCACAATTCGGCGAAAACATACACGAAAGTTCGGCGTTCAAAAGGAAGGACGCGTAGGCAAAGGAATGCATCAAACGACGGGCTCCTCCGGTGTGGGGCTGGTTGGCGTTGGCGTGGCTTCTGCGCTCGGGCTAGTCGGCGTTGGCGTGGCTTATGTGCTCGGGCTGGTCGGCGTCGGCGTGGCTTCATCGCTCGGGTTGGGCGTCAGCGTTGGGGTCGGCGTGAGCGTAGGCGCGGTGGTCGAAGGCATCTGGTTCAAGATGAGGCCGCGCTCCGCCAGGTACCACGCCCTGACCTGTTCGTCCATCGTCGACATGTCCGCCCCCATCAAGATCGCCAGGTCAGTGTTCCTCTTCTTCGCGGTGACGTTGGTCCAGAGTAGGTCGAGCTTCACGTCCTGCTTCGTCATCAATGTCGACCACCGCGCGTCGAATTTCTCCTTCATCTTTGCGGCGTTGTTCTTGGCGTCAGCGATGCACTGCTCGATCGATGAGTGCAACCACTTGGCAGCCGGTGTCGTGTCCCTCGCCATCTTGGCTCTTTTGTTGCCATCGAAGCGCCCATCCGCTGCCTCCTGGGCGGGCGCGTCCGGCTTGTACGTCTCCTTGGCCTTGGCGAGGGTGAGCCGGACATCCCTCCACTTCTCGCACGACTCGATCCGGGAGAACACGTGAAGGAACTTGAACTCTTGGTCGTTGTTGTCCTAGCGGTACATGTTGAACATCCGAACCATCTGCGCAGCAAAGAATAAGTGTCAGTGACATACACGGTGAAAGAAGTGAGCCCGCGGCCTTCTTGGTGTTGAGCCTGTTCTTCCGGTCGGTGGTGACAACCTCCCGGCGCTGAACCTCTGCCCTCCACTCGGCGTTGGACATGCCCGGTGATTTTTCCATCGGCGCCCTCGGCTTCCTCTGCTCCGGTTGGGTGGAATCTGCAACGGCAGCGGAGTGAGGGGCCGAATACTTCTTTGGCGGCATGGCGGCCAGATGGCGGGGAGCGGGAGGAGAATGGCGGGAGTGGCGGGGCAGAAGGGAGGAAGCAATGAGGAAACGAAGGGAAAGGAGGGAAACGGCAGGAAAAGGCCTATCTGTCGCCGACCAAGCGGGCCCACGCGCCTTTTTGCTTCGGCCGGCGCCCCCAGGGGGGCTGGGTTCGGTTCGGGTTCGCCGGCTGTTACTTCGGTCCAAACCGACGATAAAGAAG